TTTTCGAAAATAACTTTGACAAACTAATTGATGACAGTGACGGATTCTATTTCAGGTAAGAATATTATGAACAATAATTAGACAGCAATTTTTTTGTCAATTTTACTATCACCGCTGTTTGAGGTGTATTCAACAAGGATAGAGAAAAATCACGTGACTTTAAAATGGTATTTGTTGGACTATAGTTCTATGAAAATCAACATTAAATAGAATCTTATTTCTAACATTCATCAGAGAAACATGGATGCCATCATAGCATGGTTGCTAAACGTCAACGACCTAAACGCAGCTGGCATATTCCAGAATTGAGCGGAAAAGAGCACAATAAAGCAACTTGAGGTGTGTTTGGGGGATGTTAATTGACCATTAGGATAAAAGATCTCAAAAAAAAAATTTGAAATTCCATCGTTTTCGTAAGAACCTTATGATTTAGATTTTCGAAAACTTTGAAAGTGCAAAACTTTTTTTCTATTTTAGATAGAAAGAAGCTGAAATTTTCACTGAAGTTTATCTCAATAAAGGGACTACAATCCCTGAAAATTTCAGCTCATTTGCACTTTTGGGTGATTTATCAATTTTTCAATTTTTCTGAGTGCCTTTTTTCATAGATTTCTGCTTGAAATTAGAGAATAATTTAGTGTATGGAGTTTGGGAGATGTTAATTGACCCAGTGGCGGATCTAACATGAAGCAAACGACGCACTCTGCGTCGGGCACCCAAAGCTGAGGAGCCCCCATAGTCTAGGAAAATTGTCGATTTTCAAAAAAAAATCCTACTCAAAAGAACTTTTCAGGGATGATAGGGGGAATGTGGGTGATCATAAAATCGAAATTATCAAACATTCACCCCTCTGGCGTTTTGCGCTATAGGGCTTGAAAGTGCACCATTGGCGATTACTTGGTACCTATTGATTTTACAGAAAAATGTTTCAGATAAAAGAAGTGCAAAATTATTTGATCTACAATGTTTATCTTAAGACTTTTTTGATAAGGGCCGTCTGTGGTCATAAGGGCCGTTTGAAATTTTATACTTAATGAAAATGAAAAATTTCAACCAACATGAAAAAAATTTCTACAACTCATACCAACATTTTTGCTTTATGAAGTTTTTACTCACCCCTTGCCGTTTTTCAATAGGGGTAGTTTAAAGTTTTTTTATTTTTTTACAAAAAAAAATTCTTGATAAAAGTTTTATAAGATGACATTTCCTACAATTTTTCCTTATCAACTTTTTTGTAACTCACCCCCATTCAGCGGGGGGACACTTCCCTCGGGGAAATTTTAGTTTTTAGGGGTATATATATATATTTTTTTTCTTTTCTCGCCTTTAGTGCATATAAAAAGTTGCAATTAACATTGTATTAAAAGGATTTTTTTTCACCACCTTTTTGTTTTTAGGGGTAGTTCGCCTATTTTCAACTTTACAAAAAAAATTTATTAAGAAAACTTGTTCATTTTATTATTTTGAGGAACTTTTCTTTATAACTTTTTTTTGTAAAGTTAAACATTGTAGATCAAAATAATGTCGCACAACTTTTATTTGAAACATTTTTTTGTAAAATCAATAGGTACCAAGTAATCGCCAATGGCGCACTTTCAACCCCTATAGCGCAAAACGCCAGAGGGGTGAATGTTTGATACTTTCGGTTTTATGATCACCCACCCGCCCCCTATCATCTCTGAAAAGTTCATTTGGGTAGGAATTTTTTTTTTTTTGCAATACATGTATTTTTCGACCATTTTCCTAGACAACCACACAACCGAATTCTAAAGGCATCGATAAAAATGAATTAAAAAAAAAAAAACATAAATAGAATCCAAAAAAAAAAACGAAAATTGAATTTTGGAAAAGATCCAGAGAGGAAGAAACGTCATTCCAGAAATTAACATTTGGTTATTTTGTGAAAATAGTTTTGTAATACCCGCCCTAAGTAAGTGCGGTTGGTGTCGGTGAACCAACCAATTTAGCTGGAAATACGCAGCGCCTGCCAAGGGAAATAGTGGCTGTGACTTGGAACATTTCAACATTTTGTTTTCATAATATTGTCTTATATGTTCTTAACCCTTCGTTAGTGTTCACTAAAAAAGTTACATGAGAGGTGTTCTGGGGTATATCATACCCCAGGAAGAAATTCGATTGAAATGCAGTTTTTTTTTTAAATCATTTTTAAGGTTAATTAATTAGTTAATTTAATTAGTCAGATGTCCAGTTAAACAAAAAATATAGATAACACAGTTTTCATTTGGATATTACAAAAAAAAAATTATGGAGAATCAATTCTGCCTTGTAAAAAAAGAAGAGCAACTATATTTTGAATTAAACAATATAAAACCAAGTACCAAGTATTGACAAATATCTAAAAAATATATCGTACAGCTTGAATCAAACCAATTTCACTGAAATTGAAAAATTTACATTGTTACTACTATTTAAAATCCTGTACACAAAAAGTTACGTAGTGATCCGGGGTATACCATACCCTAATGGCCGTTTTCACCGACCATTTTAAGGGAGGTTTAACGATAATCAACGTTTAAAGTAACATTTTCACATGTAAAAATGTCACTTTAAACGTTGATTATCGTTAAATCTCCCTTAACATGATCGATGCAAACGGCCATAACCGTCTTTGCAGTAATCTGATTTCATACAAAGGTTCAGAGAAACGCTACTGTGGGTGTGTTCAATTACCATATGCATGAACTAAAAGCTACTCGCTAGACGACTGTAGCTGTTGCAATTTTAGTTTTACAGCTGTAAATAGCCGTGATGGGGTATGATACTAACGAGTAACGAAAGGTTAATAAACCTGTGGTTCAATGAAATTTGTTTTTATATTTGGCTTTGAAAAACTTCAAAAACAGTCTGAGTCAGGGCCCCAAAAATTTTTTTGCGTCGGGCCCCCCAGGGGCTAAGTCCGCCACTGAATTGACCATTAGGATACAAAATCTCAACAGAAAAATTTTGAAATTTCATCGTTTTAGTAAGAAGGTATAGTATTTTTAATACCCATTTAGAATAACCCCATCCTTATTTATCAATCACGAATCAGATGAAACAAAAAAAAATTACCAACAAAAACGAACGTCGATTGCTAATACGTCAATTTCATCTACAACCAGGAAATTCCTAACCTAATTTTATTTGTGTGTCAAGAAGCGACATACGTTTTGTCAATAAAACTTAGAGCAGGTAAAATCTGTCCTACGTAGTGATGTAAAATTCCCGAAACATTCAAAAGCCGCGAACATTCTCGGAAACTTTCCGGGAATATTGGAAACAATCGTTTTTTTTTTTAATCTATAGCTAAATCAAACAAATCGTAGTAAGCTTTATTTACCTATTATTGTAGTGTACTGACTATAGACTTTAAACCAAGAAAAACACCTATTTTTTTCTGTAATATCAGCTAAAAATTAAACTATGTAGATGGTTGTATAAGGCTTTAAAGGAAAAGCTGATCCGATTAACCCTATCTCTCAGCTCTTTTTTTTTATCTTTCTTCAATGAAGGTTATTTAAAAGAAAGGCATACTGTAGGCTGCAGGTATATCAGCTGGTGATCGGGTAAATCGGATCACCGTTTCCGTAAAGACAATTGGACTGGGCTACATCATCCACATAAATTGGAATGACGTCACTGAGACCTTGTATTCGCAATAATCTCGCATTTTTATAAAATGTTTCTGGAAAGTTCTTGGAAATATTCCCGAAAGTTCTCGGAAATATTCTTTTGTGAGTTTTTGATTGAAAGTTTCCGGGAATATTCTCATTCACGAGAACGTTTCCATATACAGTAGTGTCGCGATAATCCGGATCAATTAAAACCAGACCAATCCGGATTATCAAATTATTCGGATTACTAAGGCATTTTACAGTCTGCTTTAATAGGTGCCATTTTCTTTGAAAAAGCCCACACAGTCAGGAAGGACGCTGCGTATTGTATTGAATGATGCGTGTCGTGTAGACATGTAAAAACTACCTATCCACTTGAACGCAGTTACAAAATGACAGGTGAAAACCTGCCCAGGGACTCCGTGTCAGGTAGAATTCTACATATCGACGGGATTTTATAGATTCGGCGCGGTATGCGATATGTTTCGATATGTCGAATTCTACATGGCATGGAGTCCTACCACTCTGTGCTTTTATTTTCAAGAGTCATGTAAATGAATGCGGATCACTGAATCAAGTGAAATCCGGATTACAGAGTACATCAAGGGAACGAAAATGCGATGCGGATTACAGAAGCATACGGATTATCGCGACACTACTGTACCGCCATTTTTTTGGTGTCAAAATACCTGAAAAAAAACGGCTTCATTTTCCAAATCCAGGTTACTACTCCTCTAAGCACTACAACGACAGGTATTTCTAAATAGGTATTAAAAATACTATAAGGTTCGTTTCACCAGGGTTCATACTTGACCTTGAAACTTGAAAAAAAAAGGGTTGTCGTAGATTAATTCATATGACACATTCAATTTTTTTGACAAATTAAAATAAATGACCTTATGATTTAGATTTTCGAAAACTTTGGAAGTACATAACACAGTTCTTCACAAAAATAAGAATATTATAATAATCTTAAATGCCGCTCGAGTTTACATTCAGAAACGAACTACCTGGGTCTTAATTTCTCAGACCCTTCTAACCTTATCCTATTTTCTAGCATTATAGAAAATTGGGTTATGGCACAGTCTCTCTGAGACTTTATTCTCGAAACAGGGGAGCAGCGTTCTCATGAAAACGAAGGTTCTGTCTCCGTAGTCCGTATTCATATTTCCATAACACTGACAATGACAGAGTAATCGTTCTCGTGAGAATGCTGTTCCTCGGTTTCGAGAATAAAGTCCCTGGTGGCGTCTTTGCCCGCATGTTTTTGAAATTGCTAACATTTGATAGTTATTATTATATTACAATCCGTTATACATACATAAACCAAATTTAACAATAGTCCTTATAGTGTAAAAAAAATATATTTAATAGAAAAAATTCTAGGTTCTAGTTTGAAAGTTCTAAAAAAATACCCATGGCTCTGGCAAATGGATAAACCAGTGAAAAAACGTCCCAACCTCTACATAGTCAATCTCCAGTGGACCCCGAAAGACGATTGTGCCAACGTAAAAATAAACGGCAAATGCGACTTGGTGTTTAAAAAAATCATGACCATGTTAGGCATAGCGGTCCCGCGTTACAACAAACGCAAAGATCCGATTTTCCATCACGCCACCGAGTTGAATGAGCTCGAGCTTCACACTAATTCGCAACCGTCTTTGGTGCAGGATAAAACTAACTTAGAAGATAAGTATTATAATGATGTAGATAATAAGGTACAAAATATTGAATTAGATGATAAGTTTCAATTGGAAGACTGTTCTATTAGTAATAGTAATAGTTCCGATCTCAACCGTAACTGTGATAAAGGTATTAGTAGCAATAGTAGTAGTGTGCGTTCCACAGAAGAGAATATTGTCAGACTTATTCCCAATAATTTTATTTCGCATTCTGGCAATGTTTTGAATAGTTTTTTAAGCGACGTTCAAACTTATACTCGCTTGCTAGAGCCTTCCTTAACGTTTTTAAGCTATAGTTTGCTTCACAGCAAAGTTTTCGGTCCTTATACAAACCTTTTCCTGTATCCTTATCAAACCAGTTTACTTTATCCAGGATTGCATAGCATTATAAACCCTATGCCTGTGATTAAAGAAGAAAATTTTCCTAAACTAGAGCCAGAAGCACCTGTTCTGCCTTCCTGCAAATTTTGTCACGAACATTACAAATCTTCCATGTGCGTTTTTTATCCCAAAATCGAGCCTGTATTTAAAACAGAAAAGATTCGCTTTAGTAAAATTGAAAACCGAGATAAACCTAATGTTTGTATTTGTTGTGATTATACCACTGAAGAGGATGATGTTGAGGGTAGCAGTAGCGACCGGGAGGCTAGTAGTGGAAGTAAAATACAAGCTGGCTGGTTTGGTAAAGGGTATAGGAAAGGGCGTAGGTTTAAGAGAAAAGCTGTGGAAAATAAGTAGAAGCTTTTTGTAGCATGCAGAGTGTTTTAGAATTTGTCAGTCTTCAAGGAAGGTATAAAATCAAAAGTGAAGAAAACATTTCATATATAAACATCTCATTGTCTCAAAAATTGAAATCATTCAAGCTTATCACAAGATTCTGATAATTCTTCAGTTAAATTTGCGTACTTTTGAGAATTCACTTGAAAATTCTAAAACACTCTGTGTAAAGACAACAAAATCCTGGCAGCTTTATTTCTAGTTTTAATTTTTTTTTCTTGTAATTTAGAATTAGGTAGGTACGTCGGAGTTTGGTAGCCAAGTGTGTGCAAGTTGGATTTGTATGTAATTTATAAGGTGTAAGTTTCATTGTGACTAAAAAGAAATTTTTTTGGTTGTTAAAAGTGTTGTTCCTACAGTATTATTAATTCATCCCGGCTAATAAACTTTTAAAATAATAGCTTTATTTTTGATTTAGTTTATAGAATTCTTATTATTAATTACTACTGTGCAAATTGTGAAGACCTTTTTATTGACTGGTCGTGTCTTGTCCCGTTCTGTATTGTGTTCATTATTTTAGACTTTTTTTTTAATATACACTATTTAATTTTTTTATAAGTGTTTTTTATTTGATACTAGAAATTAGGAAAATTGTATACTATTAGAAAGAGCATTAAATTCTCTATGAATCTGTGCTAAATTGGATTTGATAGCTCCAATACTTTTTGAGCAATTGAGCCTCAAAGTTGAATTTTAGTCAAAAACTTCAATCTCAATTTTTTCAAAAACTATAAACCTGGAAATATTTTCCAATGCAGGTTTTTTAGAACTTGATGGGAGCTTCAATTCCTGAAAATTTTGATTCAATATCTCTTACGGATATCAAGATATTGAAGATCAACGTTTGTGAAATCAAAATCCAAAAAAACTCAAAATTTTTATTTTTATATTTTTCAAATTTTGAATTTTCCACTGGAAAGAGCGGGTCTATATTAGTGAAAAAAATTTAAGATCATCTTCAAATGACCTATGACCATTTCAAACAAAAAAAAATCAAAAACGAAAATCTCAATTTTTTTAAAGTTTTGACAATGTTAAGAAAAGTATTAATAATAATAATAAATAAGTAATATTGTCACAACTGCCCGCTTTACGGGGGTGACATGGGGGGTTTGTAGCTTTGGGGGTTGATGGAGAGAAACTCGCTCAAGTTATATAAAAGTGTAAATATATATTTTCCCAAATATGCCCTTGTACGCTAGTCCTATAAGATGCATGACCCTTCCAACACTGGGGTCCTTATAGGGAGCCACACGTTAACGCTGCTTGGGGGACCGTCGAATAATTATCGTCACCCTTATGCCTTGTCCAGAGGGGCTTTTCCAAAGAGAGGTAATTGCACTGGACAACGATAAGGCTGAAGATACCCAGAGGGGCTTTTCCAAAGAGAGGTACTTGCACTGGGAAGACTTAATTCCAGAGGGGCTTTCCCAACGAGAGGTAGTTGCACTGGTTTAAGTCTGCCTTTCCTGCGGCTTGCAGCGCAATTTATATCCGTTTATTGCTGAATTGCAATAAACATCCGATCGAATCGGCAATTAAATTGATAAGGTTGAATACCGGGTCCTCCTTTCCTAAGCAGCTAGTTTACAATATTTTCATTAAAATTTGAGCAAATCAAAATAAATTATACACCATTGAAAAGAGGATTAGATTCTCTATAAATCCGTGCTACATTGAGTTTGATATCTCAAATACTTTCTGAGCAATTAAGCCTCAAAGTAAAACATTTTCAATTGACCAAAAATTCCCAAACTGTTTGCTTCAACTCTCCTTTGATTTATAGTACCGAGATCCCCATACTTACTGAGGAATTTGTAACACCCTGTATACACGCACAAAGTACAAATTTCATCACTACTACATAAATCAGAATTAACTTCCAAGGAAATATGTTTATTTTTATGTCTATCTATAACATAACATGATTTATTTTGTCATTATAAACTAATAATTTACCCATGTTGTAATTAACATTTCAAATTGCTATGTAATTATTACAATGATAAACTAGGAATTCTTTAAAAAGAAACAAAACAACAAAAATGTTAATACATAATATGGGCACCTATTCATCGTTTTTAGAAATCCATTTTCAGAAAATCACATCTAATTTTCATTTTCTGTTATTTTTAGGCCAGCAACATTAGTGTGAATAATTATTTTTTTTTTATAAAAGTAAACAATAATTATATTATCAATGTCACAAAATATTATTACACAATAACTTTTCTGTAATTCAAACAAAGCATGTCATTAATTGAAATTACAAATGATTTGTCTTGTTCTCCGTGCTCACATATATGGTAATCAATTAGGGCAATTTAAATTTACTATTTTCGTTAGTCAAATTTATGTAATCTATGATTTAACAGGTGTTAGAAAAGGGGAATCCTCACCTCTAGAGGACTTCGCATATAAATTTTTCATATGATAATTTTCTATCAATTATATTTTATTTATATAGATATTTAAAACCACCTTTCACGAATAGCTGGTAAAAATAAATAGGCAAACAAGGTCCTCAATATGCAAATCTGTTTGTACCTACCTAAAATACAAAAAAAATCAACTGTGTATAAAATGAAATTACTATTCAGTTCTTTCATTTGGCTCAACTAAAGAAGTGTGTTTTAAGTGTTCAGTGTTTGTAATTTTTGTCCTTAATCGTATTTTGGTAAGAACGATTTAAGTTTGTTTATTATTTTTCTTTAGTTTCTTCTCATTTATCTTTAGAAATAGGCCTCTTCCAATTCTCTTGTATCTTCAGTGTAATCCTGAGGCAGTTTATATGAGCTCTACTTTGAATTTCGAAGATTCTAGAATAATGTTTATTGTAGAATCGTCATGGCTTCTACAATAAATTTCACTTTTTCTACGGAATTCCATTGATTCTATATCAAATTTAAGGATTTGTACAATAATCCAGACACTCATGGTCTAGATAATTTCCTAAAGGACTCTAGATTATATGCAAGCTTCCACAAATAATCTTAGAGGAACAAAATTCAGGTTCTCCTGCATTAAAGTTATTACAGCTTCTATACTACTTACTTATTCATTGTAGTTCGTTAAAAAATCCTACAATAAATTATGCATCTAATAAAACATAACCATATAAGAATCTGGTCCTGAAGATGACACAGAGCAGTGTCGAAACTGTCGGCTTATTCAATTTGAATTTGCAATAAAATTGTCCAGAAGCTGAGAATTATCTCATTTGAGATTTTCTTTAATTATGTATTTAATTCTAGTTTCTTGAATGTTCATCTATATTACATTTTCTTGATTTTTCAATTCCTTTATTTCAGACTCTCGAGTTTTCTTATAACTTTTGGCTTTTGAATTTTTTTTAATTTTTTTATTCCAAGCTTTTAGATTTGCTTAACTTTTTTATTCCAGGCTCTTAAATTTTCCTTATTCCCATACAGCACAGAGACAGAGTCTTTAAGATATCCACAAACCACTTTCAATAACATTGTATGTTAGTGAACCCAATGTCTTTTAGACGTCTGCCTAGAGACGTCGTCGTAGGACTAATATTTCATTATTACTCATCTATGACTGTCAATTTTTGTCTATTCCAGGCACTAGGCTCGCTGAAATTGTAATCTGAAGTTTTTAAATTGCCCTGAAGCCTTTCAAAATGCTGCTAAAAAGTATTCTGGAACGTTCTAAAGTGTTCTAACTTGGCTTGAAGAGTTCTGGAGCATTTTAGAAGTTTTCCAGTAATTTCTAGATTGTTCTGACATATTTTTAAGTACAGCCCTATTGAAGCTCCAAAGAGTTCTAAATTAATTCAAAAGAGTTCTAACTTGAATCCTAATTATTCTGAAATAACTGTGAAATTTCTCAATTGTTCCAAAATGCTCCTGAAAATACTGATTTGGAGGCTTATTAAAGGTTTAAAGTTCTAAAGCAATCTATAAAAGCCTTCTGTAAAGCGTTTTGAAATTTTCAACCTGAATCCTAAAATTTAGGCGCTTTTCAAAATGTTTCTAGAGATTCTATAGTGATTAAGGCGGTTTACAAGGTTTACAGCGTCCTAAAATGGGTTTCAAACTTCAGGTTCTAAACTGCTTTGTGAATCGGTTTTTGAATGGTTTGGTTCTAAAGTTTCCAAAATGTTCTGCAGCGTTACAGAATGTTTTTGGAAATTCTTAATTGAATTTTAATGGCTTATTAAAGTTCTAAAGTGTTCTGTAGCATTCTAAATTGTTTCCAGTAACTTCTAAATTGAATAAGAAACGAATTTTGTGGGAAATTTTTATAGACATCTTGAAAACACGTCCCTAAGATGTCCACAAAAAGACATTCAAGACGTCTTGCTTACGTCTTCAAGGTTTCCTAAAGACATCTTGAAGTCTTTCAGTCGTCTGCCTAAAGTCGTGTTTAGGACTAAGACATTCTGAAGACGTCTTCAACGAGATGTTTCAAAAGACACGTCTCTGAATCTCTCAAATTCTCTAAAGTTTTGAGACTTTGAAACAAGAATTTTCTTGTATCTTGTAAAACTGTTAAAAGTCATGATTCTGAAGATCTGTGAACCAAAATTCATTGCTCGAGTGAGGATGCTCATACAAGAATTTAAATTCTGAAGACTCTGAAGTCTCACAACTCAAAAATGAAGAATCACGAGTGGGTTGAGGGGTCTAAGACATCAAATTCTCCTGAAGTTTCGAGACTTTAGAACAAGAACTTTCTTGAATCTTGTAAAACTGTAAAAAGTCTGAAGATCTGTGAACCAAAATTCATTACTCCAGTCTGGGATGCTCATGCAAAACTCTAAATTCTAAAGAATCTGGGCTGGAACTCTGTAACGGATAGGGATCGTTAACCCTATCGCTATGGCACTTGCTGTCTTCTTCTCTCTTGTCAAAAATAATAGAGAGGAGATGTCAATAGAGATAGAGAAAATATCTCTATTCGTTATAGATAGAGTCCCAGCGCTGAAATCTCACAACTCAAAAATGAAGAATCAATAAGGCTGTGGGTTGAGCAGTCAAGACATCAAATTCTCTAAAGTTTTGAGATTGACTCTGCGAAGTCTCACCAACTCAAAAATGAACAATCAAGACTGGGCTGAGGGGTCAAGATATTAAATTATATAAAGTTTTGAGACAACAAGAACTTTCTTGAACCTTGTAAAATTGTAGAAAGTCATGAGATCTGTGAACCAAATTCATTGCTCGAGTCTGAATGCTCATGCAAAACTTTAAATTCTGAAGACTCTGAAGTCTCATAGCTCAAAAATGAAGAATCAAGAGTTGGCTGAGGGGTCAAAACATCAAATTCTCCTGAAGATTTAAGATTTTTAAACAAAAGTTTCCTTGAATCTTGTAGAACTGTAAAAAGTCATGATTCTGAAAATCTGTGAACCAAAATTCATTGCTCGAGTCTGAATGCTCATACCAGACTTTAAATTTTAAAGACTCTGAAGTCTCACAACTTAAAAATGAAGAATCAATAAGACTAGGCTGAGGGGTCAAGATATCATCAAATCCTATAAAGTTTTGAAACTTTGAAACAAGAGTTTTCTTGAATCTTGTGAAACTATAAAAAGTCAGGATTCTGAAGATCTGCGAACCAAAATTCATTACTCGAGTCTGGGATGCTCATACAAGACTTTAAATTCTGAAGACTCTGCAGTCTCACAACTCAAAAATAAAGAATCAAGACTGGGCTGAGGAGTCCGCAAGACATCAAATTCTCTAAAGTTTTGAGCTTTTCAAACAAAAGTTCTCTTGAATCTTGTAAAACTGTAACAAGTCATAATTTTGAAGATCTGTGAAAAAAAATTCATTACTCGAGTCTGGGATGCTCATACAAGACTTTAAATTCTGAAGACTTTGAAGTCTCACAACTCAAAAATGAAGAATCAAGACTGGACTGAAGAGTCAAGACATCAAATTCTCTAAAGTTTTGAGCTTTTCAAACAAGAGTTTTCTTGAATCTTGTAAAACTGTAACAAGTCATAATTTTGAAGATCTGTGAAAAAAAATTCATTACTCGAGTCTGGGATGCTCATACAAGACTTCAAATTCTGAAGACTCTGAAATCTCACAACTCAAAAATGAAGAATCCAGACTGGACTGAGGAGTCAAGACATCAAATTCTCTAAAGTTTTGAGCTTTTCAAACAAGAGTTTTCTCGAATCTTGTAAAACTGTAACAAGTCATAATTCTGAAGATCTGTGAACCAAAATTCATTACTCGAGTCTGGGATGGTCATACAAGACTTTAAATTTTAAAGAATCTGAAGTCTCAGAACTGAAAAATGAAGAATCAATAGGACTGATGTGGGCTGAGGAGTCAAGACATCAAATTCTCCAAAGTTTTAAGATTCTGAAACAAGAGTTTTCTTTAATCTTGTACTGGATGGTCTGGATGGTCATAGATGACTTTAAATTCTAAAGACTCTGAAGTATCACAACTCAAAAATGAAGAATCAAGACTGGGTTATGAGGAGTCAAAACATTAAATTTTCTAAAGTTTTGAGAATTTGAAACACGAGTTTTCTTAAATCTTGTACAACTATTGAAAGTTATATGATTCTGAAGATCTGCGAACCAAAATTCATTACTCGAGTCTGGGATGCTCATACAAGACTTTAAATTCTGAAGACTCTGAAGTCTCACAACTCAAAAATGAAGAATCAAGACTGGGCTGAGGAGTCCGCAAGACATCAAATTCTCTAAAGTTTTGAGCTTTTCAAACAAGAGTTTTCTTGAATCTTGTAAAACTGTAACAAGTCATAATTCTGAAGATCTGTGAACCAAAATTCATTACTCGAGTCTGGGATGCTCATACAAAACTTTAAATTCTGAAGACTCTGAAGTCTCACAACTCAAAAATGAAGAATCAAGACTGGACTGAGGAGTCAAGACATCAAATTCTCTAAAGTTTTGAGCTTTTCAAACAAGAGTTTTCTTGAATCTTGTAAAACTGTAACAAGTCACAATTCTGAAGATCTGTGAACCAAAATTCATTACTTGAGTCTGGGATGCTCATACAAAATGTTAAATTCTGAAGACTCTGAAGTCTCACAACTCAAAAATGAAGAATCAAGACTGGACTGAGGAGTCCGCAAAACATCAAATTCTCTAGAGTTTTGAGCTTTTCAAACAAGAGTTTTCTTGAATCTTGTAAAACTATAACAAGTCATAATTCTGTAAATCTGTGAACCAAAATTCATTGCTCGAGTCTGGATGCTTATACAAGACTTTGAATTCTAAGGAATCTGAAGTCTCAGAACTGAAAAATGAAGAATCAATAAGACTGATGTGGGCTGAGGAGTCGAGACATCAAATTCTCCAAAGTTTTGAGACTCTGAAACAAGAGTTTTCTTGAATCTTTGTACTGGGTATTTGATTATATTTGGACCTATACCTACAGTCTTTACTATTTAAGATTAAAAAAAAAATTAAATACAAAACATGACAGTTTTTTTCTATATTTTCTTTTAATGGTATCAGAAAAAACAAAATCGCATTGGAAAATGGAGAAACGTAGACAACTTCGACTAAAATGAAAGATCGTTTCTTCCTGATTCCAAATATACCTATACATATATTAATCTCATTTCAGTGAGCCGTTTTTGATATATTTCAGCTTAAATTTATTTGGATTTTATTTATAATTTAAACTAAGATATATCAAAAACGGCAATCCTAAATGTGATCAATATTTATGTATTTGGAATCAAGATGAAAAGATCTTTTATTTTATCGTATAATATAATACAGGGTGTTCTATTAAAAAAAGTCAAAGTTGCCTATGTTTCTTCATTTTTTGAAGCGATTTTGTTTTTTCTGATACCGTTAAAAGAAAATATAGAAAAAAACTGTCAAGTTTTGTATTTAAATTTTTTTTCTATCTTTAATAGTAAAGGCTGTAGGTATGGGTCCAAATATAATCAAATACCCTGTACATCTGTGAAAAGTCATGATTGTGAAGATCTGTGGACTGTTAGAGTCTGGATGCTCATACATAAGACTTTAAATTCTAAAGACTCTGAAGTCTCACAACTCAAAAATGAAGAATCAAGACTGAGCTGAGGAGTTAAGACATTTTCCAATTCATAAACCATCTTTATTTTCACTATTAGGCTTTAGTTGTATCAAATTTGTCTTTATACGATGTGAATTTACGATATCTGACGGACATTTCCACAACAGCGTCTTTTTTTGGTCTTCAGAATAATTATTCTAGAGGAATAATCAGTTGAAAGAAGGGACAAGTCTTGATTTGTGGAAGAGACTTTTTCATTGCCCTAATTAGTATAGTGACATTCATTGGGATGTTTAGAATATTTGAGGAAATAATCCTATCAAAATCTTGTGATACCTATTCCAGGGATAGATTTTGTTATCAACCCATTGATACAAATTTCCTGGAATATTTTTAAATTTTACCAAAATTTGGTAGGTACTTTTTAGGTATTTTTGATATTAACCCGGAAATTTTTAGGATTATTGTTTAAACCATTTTCATTGGTATTAAAGAAAAACTTCAGAGGGTATCAAAAGAAGTTACCTACTCAAAGAGTAATCTGAAGAGCAAAAAATCCTCTTTATAGCTTTGTCCATCCTGTATAACCCCTTCTTATAAAGGTATTCAGCAAGAAAGAACCACCCAGGCGAAAGACAGGTGAGCCAGATCGTTAACACGCACTCAGGTAACACAAAAGCCACGAAACCCATTCACTCGAGTCAAAACGGATATTCGCTTCGCATCATAGCATAGTATAGTCAGTCCGTTTTTGTCTCTTGTTGATATCAAAGCTTCGCTCCTTTTGATTTCAATAGAAATATACCGCGAGATTGATTGTGGCTTTGCTTTTGTGTTTGCCCTATATTGGATTTGATTATTCAAGCCTCTAAGGTAAAAATAACATAAAAAATTACTAATTAAACTAGTCAACATATACAACTGAATTAAGTACAAACGCAAAAATGTAGATTCTTATATCTTCAGCGTCCAATTTCCGCAATCAAGAGAAAACTTTAATAAGCGTTTATGGTAGGTATACCTACATTAGTTACCGACAGTATTTGGTGCGGTATGAATGATAATGCTTTTCTCTTGTTTCCTGCTACTAAAAATGCAAATGAATTTCTTTATAAATAAAAAAACTCTTTCTTTTTTCAGAAAACTCCTCCAACTTGAAAAATTCATCAGGAGAAAACTATAATGTAGAATTAAGTATTAATTTTTTACTAGCATCAAACCAACAAAGGTAGGTACCTAACTACTATTCTTATACAGAAATGCCTTTTTTTTCCATGAAGGTTTGCAAAACCACAAAGCCATAAACCATTGTCCTATGGTATTATGGTGAAACATGATCGCTGGGACTTCTTATTATGATTGCATCACTATATATTTTTCCAAGAACAATTGTTATTATTATTATTGGTAATTCCATTTTCAGGTCTCATAACATTTATATTGTTATTGTCATTCAATCATGTGCGCCCGTAAATTGGAAACAATTGAAGTTATAAGTCTAGACGTTTTGGCAACAGGTATTTTGATTAGTCAACCGTTAGTGAATAAAAATTGATCGATTTGTTATTGCCGCATTCAAATAAGTACACATTGCACTAGTACCTATATTTCCGTATTTTTCGTGGAAAAAGCTTTTCATATTTTGATCCTCGCAGAAATGAAATTTGAACTAGAAAGGCATTGAAATTTTTTTCCCGGCGCTCCTATAATGTCAAAACTTAAACTAAAAAAGAGTAAAAGCTTGATTTTAGAACATTTAAGAGTTAAAGCTGAGCTAGAAGTGGTTCGCAGAACTAAAATTCAATTCGAAATTTGTGAAAATTTAAATTTCCTAAATCTTCTAGCTGAAATTTGAACTAGAAGGCATTAAATTTCTACTCTCTACTAGAACAGGTAGCTGAAATAATGTATACTTTTTATTTCCCATCCTCATTTGTATTTGTTCTAAGAATTATTTTTACTGACATTTCTAATTAACCAACTAAATGAGCTATTAGCTATTTGTACTTAATTTGGAAATTGCTTGGGCTAGGGGGGTTTACTTAAAAATATGTATCAATTATTATTCTATTAATACCCTGTTTTCCTGATGTATTTATTTTATTTTTCATTGATTATGTATTCATTATTATAATTATTTCTCATTAGTATTATTATTGTCATTCCTTCATGCCATCTTTTTTTTTTTGAATTTCCTTATTGATTAATATATGTACTTCTAAATCTTTGATCTTTCCCATTCGTTCTTTCTTATTCTCATTCTAAACTGAATTTTATGTATGTTTTCATTTTGAAGAAAACGAAAAAATCAAGAATCTGGAATGGACAATAAATTATTCTGTCCTCTTGAAGTTCACTTCCATGAGGGATGGGTCCTCGGTTTCCATATGGAAACTTCTTCAGAATAGAATCGGATGCATGCTGTCTCCCATATCAAATAGTTTGTATTTTTATTTCAAACCCATTTATGCATTTCAGAATCAAGACTCTTGAATTCTTGTTATTTTCATTCCTGGGCACTTAAGTCCAGATTGAATTTTCTGTGTTTAAACTCAAAAAAACATTTCCCAGTGAAATTGGCCGCAATGTATCAGGAATATGTTACTGGTACAAAAGGTCAAGATATGGACGCCTGGGGGGTTTCATCTATAGGCCCCAATTTGAATATGCATAAGCAGTCGAATGCTGGAATCGATGACAAGCCTCGAAACATCAAAATTTATCATCCACTTAGTCTAAATTTAATGCTATTTTTAGGAACCATGTGTACATTTCAATATACAATGCTTCAAATCGAATTTTATTTATTTTACCAAGCTTTTGGTAGGATTATTTCGCCAACAAAAACATTGTTGTGGCGCTAAATTGAAATAATTGCCGTTATTTATTGGGCACTAACTCAAACTACTTAACCCAAATAATATCGTATACCTACCTATAATATCTATTGGTTGTTTGGGAATTTATTTAAAACATTTCAACTACCATCTCTTACATAATAAATTATTGAAACCTTAAAATATTGTTTGCATATACCTAGAACTTTGACCTTGCGATTTCTTGCTTTCTATATCATAAAAATGTCGAGGCTGAAAGGTATATAGATATCACACATCATCAGGAATTTTTCGTAAATTGTTTAGCAAAATTCAAAAAAACCCCAAGGATTCCATTCGAATATAGGAACAATCGGAATTCCTGCTTGAACATCACTCGAAGGAGTAATAATCTATTTCTTCTTTATATAATTTAGCATCCAATATCCAATATCTTCTGTTTGTTTTTCTTCGGTTGTAGGTATACTAATTTGATTTTAGTACTATCTGCTTAATTCTGTTAAAAGTTAAACTATACATCCCGAAGTACGAAAAGTTAATTTACAATTTTCAGTTTCATATACTGCTTGTACTTTTAGATACTTTTAGTGAAATTTGAATTAGAGATGCATGAAAATCATATTCCTGACTCTGCTAAAGTCAAAATTGAACTAGAGAAATATAGAAATCTTATTTCTGATCATATAATAATAATAATAATGTTTATTCACAGCAATATTTACAATAATCACTATCTCTATCCTACACAATGACGTAATATCCTAGTATCCTACATCACTTTAAGCCGAAATAAACATTTCAAAGGAATTTGTTGAATACAGCCTCATTTTCTGGTTCGACCTTTTTTTTTTGTCACCAGTTATTTATTTATATTCTGGCGTGTCAAAATGACATACTTTATGGGATTGAGTACTATAATAATTTCATTATAGTCCTGAGTACTATAATGATTTCATTATAGTACTCAGTACTATAATGAAAAAAATGTATATAGTAATAGCAGGCACAAATATGAAACATCTATTGGAAACAACAAAATTTAACGATTAAAATTAATTACAAAATCTTTACAATTCGATAAACTGATCTTGGACGTAGGTGTCGAAATTGTCGAACATTGTTTTCCAGTGAATTTAACTTTGACAATATGACAATACAAACAAAAAATTCCGTTGTTACTATGGCTGTCAAGCAGTCAAGCACATTACTAAAATTAGTCTGCTACAATTATTTTCGATAAACTCAAATGTAACAGAACAATGTATTGACTATAATCGCCGGAATATAAAATATTGTATGAAATTCGGATCATAAACAATCATTATGGCACACGCCATGTTATCAGATAATATTCACGGCTAGTACCATAATGATCGTCATTATGATCCTTATAACATAAATAATATCTATTATAATATTGTAAAAAATGTCATTATAGTAGCGTTGTCAATAAACGTTAAAAAATTCTCAAGGAGACTCTAATTAATTGTGTCACAGATTTGTACGAGTCTAGAAGCCAGACAGAATACTAAGAAATTAACATTGGTCCTTCGAGCCGCCGAACTTGTTCTATAGAAAAAGATATCAGTGAAACTCGCAAAAAAAATCCTTTATGGAGAAAATAGTCCAGGAGGTGGCGCCAAAAACATGCAAGAGTTTTCGCAAGGCGGATATTTTCAAAATAGGTCGTACTTTAGTGCTAGAATGCTAGTGTACAGTCAGCACTCACAGTTCCGGGACAGCTGGCTCTGGGACTTGGGCAAAGTTGTAATTTTAAGAAGCATCTAAACTGTTTTCTCAAAGCTCAAAATTTATAGAAATTTTGCACATTATCTGTTTGAAGGTAACAGATAACGTATGTAAATCGTCAGACGTCTAGTTCGTTGCAAAAAGGGGGTCAGACTGCCTCAAAGTTTTTATTTTATGGCATTTTCTTCGGTGTCCTGTCAAAATATATTTTTGCAGGTATTTGACAAATATATTTTTGTGCAACCATCCGCAAAATGAGCTTTCGCGGCCGCCACACAGTCCGCGAAATTCAATTTCGCGGCCGTTGCCCTTGGTGACGGCCGCGAAACTATAAATCAAAATTTGACACTTTGACAACAACAATAAGTAAATTTTATTTCCAAATTCTTCAGAACAACATAAATTATTTAGGATAAATATTAACACTTACATGACAGTTTGCATTATTACTAATATTTACTCCTGAAGCTGAAGCAACTAATAATCCAGTGTTTTTGAATTGAACTCTCAAAACTTCCCATTTCGGCATTAAATTAGCCAATATGCTTTCAGACACCATTTTGACGTTTTGTTTGTCACACCAATTTTTTGAACTCGCAGTAACAATTTTCATATTGCCGCTTAGTTTTCCAGGTATTAACTCAGAAATAGCTGATTGAACCATATTTTTTAGCTCTGGAGGAGTGCAAGAGAGTGAAACATCTGTATCGCTGTCGGATATTTTCACGATTTTTTGAGAACCGTCAAAATTTTTTGTGTATTTGTTTACTTGCAAAATATGTCATCCATGACATCCATGGAAACGCTGTGCCACCATAGCCACCAGGTTATACATCAAACTGGTAATTAGTTCCACATGTTTGTTGAAACATTTTTTCTATAATTCCACATAATTTTCATGGTTGCACAAAAAATAGTGTGTATACCATGACCGCGAAACTTTTTAGCGTCCTCGAGATTATCTTGCCTCGGCCGCAAGCGGCCTCGGCGATAACTTTTCTCTACGTACGCTAAAAGGCACTTCGCGGCCTTGGTATACAAATAACTATTGAAGAAAATGCCATAAAATAAAAACTTTGAGGACGTCTTACCCCCTTTTTGCAACGAACTAGACGTCTGACGATTTACATACGTTATCTGTGACCTTCAAACAGATAATGTGCAAAATTTCTATAAATTTTGAGCTTTGAGAAAACAGTTTAGATGCTTCTTAAAATTACAACTTTGCCCGCGTCCCACAGCCAGCTGTCCCGGAACTTTGAGTGCTGACTGTACACTAGCATTCTAACACTAAAGTACGACCTATTTTGAAAATATCCGCCTTGCGAAAACTCTTGCATGTTTTTGACGCCAGCTCCCCAACTAAAACCAATGAGACAGGTAGAAAAAAACGTGAAACTTCAAGTATGAAACACGTTGATCCTCATTTCGAATGATACACAGGTTTTGGTCAAAAAGCTGCAAGAAAAAGCCAGAGGGTAGACAATTCCAAAGCTAATTCCGTACCAGGAACTTCGTTTCACTTGAATTCTGGTGACATACAGGAAAAAAGAGGTGGTAGTGACGTTTTGTGAAAAAATAAATTACCTTGGGTGTCCAAAAAGACAAGTATTATGTCACATTTGTCAACATATTCATCAAA